CGGCCAGCAGAGGGAGCGGTGACGGCTGGGCTGTGTCCTGGGCCTCCGCGCCGTTTCCGTGCGGCTGCTGCTGCTGCTGCAGATACTCCCCGTGGCCGCCGCCGCTGTCCGTGTCCAAGGCAGCCATTTCCTCCTGCTTCACGGGCTTTTCGGGAGCTGCGGGCACAGCGCGGGGGTGGGGAGGCCGGCAGGTGGGCAGAGGGAGGGGCCTTATTTCTTGCTGCTAGGCTACCTAGAACAGGGAACATGCTGGTGTGCGTTGTTCCTATTGTCAAGAGCATAATCCCAGAAACAATTTTTCTAATCTTACTGGACCTTTTGTGTAGTATTCTGTGGAAAGCACTTTGACAAATGATCTAATGTGATCTGAAACTCTAAAAGCTACATATATATATGTATATTTATATATGTATATACAAACATATATGTAACATATATATAAAATGGATTCAGTACATCTTTTAAATATATCGCAATACACTACATACTCATGTAATGTTTTATATAGCATTGAGTCATTACATGTATTACAGTACATTAGATATCTGTGTAATATAGATATCTCTGACTCAGTACAAGCTATCACAAATAAACTTTCCATACTTCAATTTGAATTCTATATGTATGGAAGGGAATCAAAATATACAAATCTGTAGCTTTGAGGTTTTACAACTACAGGTTTGCTGGGCAGACAATTTCTCTTGTGACTACTTTCTGTCATGTGAACAATCACAGTTATGAAAATATCCCAGCACAAGTGTGTGTGTGAGAAGTAGTCTCTTCTCCCGGTAAATGTCTCCTGTTAGGTCTTTCTGTCTACTTCTTCGCTTTTCTTCTTACAGGCTATTTAATGTCTTGTAGTATTTGTTGATGAATTTTTAAATACCCAAAGAAATTAACAAAAGACAAGCTACCGGAGGTTAGCCTTGTGTTTATCAGTCTGCAGCTATGCTCCATTTTTACTGGTTCTAACTATGATGTCACTGGCCATGGAGTAAGTTAAACATGAATAGCAATGTGTCGCATGGTGGTCTACTTTTTAAACTATCATTAGCACCTGTTCCTTGAATCTTTCACATAAGCAGAAAGTGCCCTCATGCTTTTCCTGTGTTCACTGCATCATGAATGACTTTATTAATTTCCTGTATACTTTGTGAGATCCACACTAAGATATCTCAGCACAAATGTTAGCATCATTATTTCACTGAAGGATACAGAGATGTTAATCAAATGAAATAAAATGCCTATATGTTTGGAAATTTTCAAAGGCAAAATATAGGATATGCTTTAATCTTTCAGTCATGTCATTGTCTTTGTAAAGAAAAGGAATAACACAAATTAAAGCGACAGTGAATTCTTATACTTTCATAGGTATCTGTTTATATTAATTTTGTTCTAGTTGGGAATTATAGTGTAGGGAAAGTAATCCATGATGCTGTGATTATCATGACCTTAAGCACAGTATCCAGTATATGTGTGATACAACATTTTTATTACCTTTTACTAAATTATAAGCCCATACTTTATTAAGGTTATTAGATATGATCAAATAACCACAGCCAGAGAAGCAACTGTATGTGACTGATTTTTGTTCCTCCTACTGTATAGAGCTGCCTTTGACTTCAAAGAATTACCTTAGCTCCAGAGGACAAAGCAGGAAGGTGGGCAATGATTCATGAGAGGATATGGAAGTAAATGATTAGTTCATGTGCCTCTAGTCTTCAGTAATGGCATAAATCCTTAGGGAAGTTTTTTAATGTCAGGCTGTATGCCTGCCTGTGTCAAACCACATATAGACTAGGATATATTATAAATTGAGAAATCTAGGGAATGAACAAAACTTCCTCCGCACAGTTCATTTTTTAAAGATGTCATAGAGACTTGAAGATACAAGAGGAAAACATAATGCTACCCTTTTTAACAATAGAAGCTAAATCTGCATATTTATAAACACAAAGGCCATTCGCATATGGCAAAACACCTTTGCCAAACAAGAGAAGAAATGTTAATTGATTGTAAGCTAAGACCTATCTGTGACTTCTGAAGCTCACAAACCAATTTATTCCCAGATTGAAAATTTTAAAGTCTGTTGATTCTTAAAATAATGAGGAAGGCAGTGAATACATAGTGAGGCTAGATAAGAAAGCTAACTACTATGCCTTTTAAATCAGTGATTTTGTAACAGCCTTTCCTCTCCCTGGGATAATAAAAGTTTACACATATATGTGCTATTTCCTTTGCATTATATAAGTTGAAAAATCTCTCGGAGAGTTAATATCCACCAGTTGAAAAATAATTTCTCTTTTTCCTCATCATTCTTTACTACAGTTAGCAGGAACACCAAATATGCCAAGCCGTGACTCCCTTTTGCCCTGTGCTTTTGGCCAGCTAGTGCTCAGGAAGTTACAGGTTAATGGGAGGAAGCCCTTCCGATAATCTGGTATTTTCTGATGGGGGCTCTAGGCATACAGCATTCCAACAGGAAACTGGTCCAGGAGCCCCTTCATAGCCAGTCATCCCCAGTGGTTATTGCTTTGCTGATGAAATCGAAATTAACTGTAAGAAAAATCAATTTCTGCAACTCCTCTTCCTCAACTTCTTTAATTACCTAGGAGGCTTCCAGAATTTCAGAATTATTTGAAGTGTCCTATCTTTGGTCATTTGTATTATATGTAGTATTTCTATCTGTAGAGATCATTATTTCTATGGTGGAGAATAGTAAGGAGACACAAAACTCAAGTTTCTGCGGCAGGCTATTCCATCTAAATCGGTTTAGGGGAAAGCTTTATAGAAAGTAATAAAGGCAGCTCATGCTTTAAAATAAAAACTTTTCAGAGGCAATGACAGAATAGGTGTAATGGTTTCTGAGAAGCAGCTCCACGTTCTCCTGGCGTGGCACCATTCGCCTAGTGCAGGCTTCAAACCCACTAGCTCACTGCGGGCAGCCCCACAGACGCATCAGAAAATGAACAATCGCTCTGAGACACATTTCAAATTAATAGACTTTCTTTAGAGCAGTTTGGGGATTATGGAAAATTGAGCATATTAGACAGTTCCTACACCTACCCCCTCCTTACAGTTTGTCCCATTAGCTTGCCTTGATATGGTTCATTTGTTACAGATGATGAACTAATATTGATACATTATTATTAACTAATTTTTATACTGACATTAGGGTTCACTGTCAGTGTTGTGCATTCAGTGGGTTTTGACAAATGCATCGTGTCAGATATTCATCATTTCAGTGCCACAAGGAACAGTTTCACTGCCATAAAAATGCTCTTTATTCCACACATAGATCCCTATCTACTTTGCCCATAAATGGATATCTGATACCACCTAGCATCTCACTGATGGACTGAGGCATAGGCTCCCTTGGCCTGCAGACCCCTCCTTCCTCGTTTCTTCTCAGAGTTGAAGTTTGTTCATCCTCCCATTCCCAGCACAATCTTTGCTCTTCAGGGAGCACCTTGCTCACCCCCTGCCCCAGTTTCCAGCTGTGATGAGGTCTCTGGTGTAGTCTTTCAACTTGTCTTTGCCTTCCATGCACAGATCAGTTTTATGAGTATAGTTGTGTCTCTGACACTAGCATGAAGCTCCATGAATGAGCAAATCATGGTTGGGTGAAAAGAAGGGCTGTTTCACATCTCATTCCACAGCTGCTTATATATATTGTCCCTCTTACAGTCCTTCATGCTTTTAATCCACCAGATTTCTCTGTGTGCATCTAGTCCACTGCTTCACGGATCTGTACCTGTTTCCTGGCTTCTATCCCAAAGATGGCCACCAAGTTCTAAATGTATTTTATATTTTCTTTAAAAATCCCCTGGTATTGATTTGTATTTAGACCCTTTTAATTGAGTACATGACCTTCTGATTAATTGTTCAATTGAAAACATATCCTGTGACTGTGTATGAATTGTATAGTTGGTAAGAATCTGAATGTGTGTTAAAATTCAAGGACTGATACACAGTGCAGAGAATTATTTTCTTAGTAATAAAAGCAATTCTTTGACAAAAGACAAAGCAAGTCCACTTCTATTCTGAGGCTCTATATAGAGCAAAATAAACATGCATGGGAAACTATAACACAGAATACAGAAATAAAATAGAAACAATAAAGTGACTACCAGAGGAGACCTAGTTACTTCATTCTGGTTATATATCATATTTTGAATAGATAAGGTACTATGAATTAAGAAAAACACCTTTCTTCCATTGTTGCATGAATACATGTCTTGGCATTTTCCCATAGAACTTGAGTTATCTTTCTATAAAGTCTATATTCTCCAATAATAATGGAAAGAATAGATAGATGTTCATTACTTCGAGGAAACAAGAGGGTATCCAAATATCTTATTTTAAAAGCAAACATTGTCACCTTGATTGAGTATTCCATTAAGTTTTAACATTCCCATAATCTGAAAAATTGAAAACATAATAAATTTTGTGTTTTTATGATCAGAATGGAAGAAACATACCATTTCTCATGGAACATAAAACTATTTCCTGGTAAAGGTACATTTTTCCTGAACCTTCCTTATGGAGGAAGGGTTGATTTTGAACTCTGAAGTCTAGAAACCCAGTGTTTAGATAAGCGGAAGTTTTCACTTGGGAAACCGCTTTACATGCACTCGGACAAATATTTAAGACCCTAGACTGCTGTGTCACATAGTGGTACATCTTTGCCGTGGATTTGGCAGGTATAAGAATGACTATTCTCTATCTGTGTAGGCCTGGACATGGTTAATGTTTGAAAGCTTCAGTTTTCTCATATGTAAAATTAATAATGAACAGTAGCTACCATGAAACATTATTGTGAGGATCAAGTCAAATGAAAGCTTATAGGATTATCCATCATATACTGAATAAATGTGTTGTTAAGATTAAATGTGATACACTACATGAAGGCCCTAGGCTAGCACTCAGTACACATTACCAAGTGTTCCAGGCACGTTACCATCCTTTCCGTTCTTAATGACATTCCTTCTCCACTTCAGGGAAAGCACAAACTGCACGTAGACACTGGATTGGAAGGAAATTGGTGTGGCCTGGTTCCTGTTGGACAGCCTTGCAATCAGGTTACAACGACAGGCCTGAAGTGGAACCTCAGTGAGTAGACCCTGCCACGAAGGGAGGTTTTTTGTCTTTTCTTTTCTTTTCTTTTTTTCTTTTCTTTTCTTTTCTTTTCTTTTTTAATGTCTCTTTGGCTTATAGTAGAAATGGAGTCACTGGATCATGTGGTAGTACATGTTTCACCTGTGGAAAGAGCTGCCAGACTATTTTCTATGGTGCCTGCACCATTTTACAATCCCACCAGTAATATGAATATCACAGTTTCTCTATAACCTCGCCAGCACTTTTCAATGTTTTGTTTTGTTTTCCTTGTAGCCATCGTAGTGGGTATGAAGGTGGTCTGTGATTTTGATTTGTGTTCTCCTTTTAACTAATGATGTTCTTGTGGAAATTTGTGTATCTTTGTTAAAGAAATTTTTATTTGGGTCTTTTGTTTATGTACTAATTAGCTTATCCTCTTTTTGCACTGAGTTGTAACAGTCCTTCAAATGTTCTAGATGTATATACTTTATCAGATATGACTTGCAAATTTTCTCAGTTCTCAATTTAATTTTAATTTTCTGAAATTAAGTTAACTAAATGAGTTCATTTTAATGAAGCTCACTTTTGGTATCATATCTAGGAACTCTGCCTAACTTTTTCATGACTTTGTATACCTGAAACCTGCATTACATTTTAGAAGTAGAAGTTCTAACTGATGGTATTATTTTCATAGTCAAACCCTTGAGATATCATAGATAAGCTAACCTTATTAAATTTTAAAATGTTTTCCAACAATTACGCATTATATTAGACTTTAGTTTTACAAAAAAACATCTGATTAGAAAAGATCAAAAAGTGAGAGAGATCTGTTTATGAATTAAATACTCATCAAAAAAGAAAAAGAAAACCACCTGGCATTGCAGGTTACTCTAAGAATAACACTAGCTTAATCAAGAAGCTCTGATTGAATGCCAAAGGATTGCGCTCTGATTAATCAGTACCTCTAAGGTTGTATGAATGAAATGTGAAACCATATCATTCTTTTTTCACATGTAAAACTCTTAAATTTCCACAAGAAAAATAAATATATTAAAGATAAAAAGATTATTGAAGTCATTTCTGTGAGCTACTGCTTAAACAATTAGGAAAAACTGCAGCTATTTTGAAGCACATCTACAGAGCTCATCAGAACTTGAAAGGACAGAGAGAGCAGATTTTCTCCAGTGCACTAAAATACGTGAAAGGCTTTGAAGCTGTTGGCTGAAACTGACATGAGCTTCCATTAGAAGCTTTCTGAAAACATTTCAGCCCAAACGGTTTTACTTTCAGAATCCCCTTTATTTCCAAGGACCCAGTCTAGACAGTGGTGGACTTGCTCTTGATAGGATGGTGACCACCCATTCAGAGCTGCTCCAGGACAGCAAGAGCTTGAACAAGGAGCATGGGTGGCTGCTGCACCATCTCATCTTACAGTGACAGGCTGGAAACCATTCCTCTGGGCTCTTCTGGAGGAACAGCATCCTTGCATCCTCTGTTACCACAGTAATATGCACATGCTAATTCTGGTCAGGGAATGTTTCCCTGAAAAAGGGCTTTGGCATGATATGAACAGGGCTCTTAACTTTCCTACCCCAGTAATGTTTTGATCCAGCCTAAATGGAATATGATATCATCCATTTGTACATTACTGATTGCTTTGACTTTTGAAATAATCAATTTTCTCTATATCTTTATGAAAACAAGTAAAAAGCAACTTCATGTGATCAAAAAATATGATGGTTTCTTTTGTTTTATTACAGCAAAAGACAGTGCCATTAATCCCCCTCAAAATACTTCCTCTCACTTAGAACACATTTATCTCATGGTTCTTGATATTTTCTGAAAGAGATCTGGAAGTCCTCTTTCTTTGTGGCTGCATGGATGTTGTGAACTGATTTAGGATGTTTGCCTTTCATGCTGATTTTGACTTTTTGGAAGACCCAAAAGTCTCATGGAGCCAGATCTAGTGAATAAGGTAGATGAGGACACACTGATGTTGTTACAAGCTTGACTTGTCATTGGATGGCACTTGGCAGCAGCATTCACCATACTAATCACATCTAATAAAGATGCTCACAAAAGAGGAATTTCAGAACTGCTTCTTCAATGGACAAAACAATGGGATAAGTGTGTTTAGAACAAGGGGCGGGTATTTTGAAGGAAATTAATGGCAATATCTTTTAAGATAATACTTTTTAAAAAATACTTAAATGTTTATTGTATATTTTGACATACCTGGTATGTCTCATCTCTCAGAAGTGAAGCATTCCATATATGATTGAAGCTACTTATATTTTCAGTACTTTATTGCCTAGTAATATGCTATGAGCATTCATTGATTTGTGTCTTATTCAAGCGGTTCATTAGGATAAAAACACTTGGGAGCTAGTTGCTGCCTCATGCATAACGACATCTTCATCTTTACTAAATATGTCATATTAACATGCACACAGGTATGCCAAGGTACCCTCAGGCATGATGACACCAGGGTTCCCCTGCTCCATATCCTGATCTATTCTTGACGTATTCATTTGTGCGGTCTGAGGGTAAATGATATTTCTCTGTGATCTTTGTCATTTTCTAGTTCTTGTCCATGGCAAGCTCCACTTCTATGGATTGCTCCTTTCTATCTTCTGTCTTTACCTTGGGCTACTGAATCTTAGAAATTCTTTAGACCTTGATTACGTTTTGCCAGGCAATACTTTGTTGATAGCTTTCAATTTCTTTATAATGTTTTTATATGAACAAAGGTTACTGGGTTTTAAACTGAGCCAAATGAGTCAGTATTGTTCTTTTAAAATTTGTAACTTTTATGTCTTAAATCATCCTTCTATCCCTCATGGTCATAAAGATATTCTTTCTCACTTCGGCTTCAGGTTTCATTTTTAGGTCTTTTATTTTCACCCAAAATTTGTTTTTATGTCTGCATGAGAAAGCTTATTTTGTTTATGATGTCCATTTCTTCATTTTTGATAATTTCCTGAGAATCACTTATCATTCCTTTTCCAGTGATTTGCAGTTCACCAACAGGTTTTATACACAAGTATCTTTCTGAGACCACCATTCTGTTCCCTGAGTTTGCATACTTCCTACCTTAACTACCATAGCTTTATAATAAATAGTGAAATTCAGCAAGATGACTCCTCCAATTTTGTTCTTCACATTTTCCATATCCCTGGCTTCTTGTTATTCTTCATAAATTTTAGCATCAACTTAAGTGTCACACACAATTCCATCAAAATTTTTATTGGAGTTATATATAACTTGTTAAACTGCTGAACAGTTTCAGTATTTGTAAAAATACTACTACAGATTCATTTGGATTTCTACACAGAATCATATTTCTGTTAATGTCAAATTTTCTTCTGCATACTGTAACAAGTCGAAGTGACTGAAACAGTAGCTTTAACAAAGCATTCCTAATTTGCTTCTACATGTAAGAAAGTGCAGAAGCAAGCAGTTACAGGGCAAGGTTTCTGATATCCTCCACCTTTGTCTCATAAGATATCTGTTTCTCTTCATCAAATGTAATGTTCATTATCTTTTAAAGAAAAATTAGGATTGCATTTGCAAGTTTAAAAAAACCTGAGAGTGAATACATTGAGTCTTAAAACACAGAATCAGTAAGTGTTGTAAATACTGAAAGACATTTTGAATGTTCTTCCTCTTGTTACTAATTCATAAAAAAAGGGGGTGACTAACTGATGCATTCAGATTTCACTATTCAGCACTGTATATATCACCCTGTGAGATGGGGCCCCTCGCCTTTCTCTTTTTCTATTATGTCCAATTCTGAAACTGATTGAGTTATGAAAATAACTTTCATGATTTAAAAAAAAATGCCTGTTGCAAATCCTACCATTGTATCCCCAGAGAGCATCTGGAGGCAGAAAAGGGAAGAGAAGAAGTTGGAGGTAGAGCGCTCCATAGAACAGGAATATAAGCCATCACTTTCCCAATATCTCTGGCAATCCCCTGAATATCTTTCAAATATTAGAAGTTAAGATATGTTATGCTTTAGATCTGAAATGTAAGTCTCATGTGGACAGAAGAAGGGGCTTTTTGAAAGTTATTGAATCATGAGGGCTCTCTTCTCATCAGTGGATTAATCCATGCATGGGTTCATATTTGCATGTGCTGTTGGGAAGCGGTGCATGGCTGGAAAAGGTAGATCCCTGGAGGCGTGACTTAAGAGTGTACTAACTACCCCAGCTGCTTTCTGTCTCTCTGGTTCCTGGCTCCATTGGTTGAGCAGCTTTCCCCTGTCTGACCCTTCTGCAGTGCCATTTCTGCTTGGAGTCAGCCAACCATGAACTGAATTGGTAGGATTCTTTCTTAGAAATTGTAGAATTTGCTTATGCTGTAATAAATAATATCTTCTGGTTAGTAGAAGATGATGTGGTGTTTATCTCACTACTGTATTCTAGTTTCTTTGTGTCTTGTGAGCTGCTATTTTTAGGATTTTCTTCTAACTCATGATAGCACTTTTTTTCCTTTGTTTTTTATATTTGATTGTCTTTTGATATTTTGGTTTTTATCTGGAAAAACATTTAGAAGGCTAGGATGAAGGGCCAGGGATTTAGCTCAGTGGCTCCTCGCCTGCCTTGCAAGCACAAGGTCCTGAGTTTGATCTCTGGTACCGAAAAAAAAAAAAAAAGGTTAGGATGAAGATGTCCTTGTAGATCAAGTTTTAAGTTGGCTTCTGCTAAATTCTCTGAGACATAGCAATCCTGGGATACTTTACTGTGTAGGTATTAAGGTTTCCTTGAAGATACTTCCAGTATAAATTCAAACCACAAAGAATTTAAGTATCTTCTTTTGTTGTTGCATCTACCAAAGCCCAGGCAAAGACAGGTAAATTTTCTTAGTCTGAAACTTTCCTGCCCAACTAGTTATTTCCTATTTGCTGTATTCTGAATGTTTGTGTCCTCCAAATTTATCTGCTGAAACATAATCACCACTCACCTCATAGAATTGAGAGGTGGTGCCTTTTGGAATCGATTAGATTTTGAGGA